CCCCCCCACCCTGCGGGCGCCCATGACTTGTCAGATCATTCAACCAGCTTAATTATTGACCAGACACTGACCTAATCTGTAAAACTGTTGGTTTAATCTTGTAAGGCGACCAACCAATTCTCGATTCTTTTTCTTTTCATCCTCAAACTGTTTGTCAATGGACGCCCGCTCGGCCATGAGAGAGGACTTCTCTTTTTGTAAGTTGGGCAGGCTCAGTTGCAACTTGGATAAGAACTCATTCTTGCGCCTGTCTGATTGTTTGAGCTCTTGGGCTGTGTCGCAACAAAAAAATATATATTTTTAAAAAATGAGCCAAAATTGAAAACAGCATTTTTATTTAGTAAAAAAAAAATATTTTTAAATGGATTGTTATCATCAAGAAATGTAAGAAATGTTAGCGAAGACAACAAACCATACCACTTGAAACTCACCTTCTTTCTGACACCGGCGGCGTATGGCCAGAAATTTCTTCTGCAGACGTTTCAGCGCCATTTGATGTTTCTGCTGTAGCCGTTCTGTTTGTTGATAGACTTTCCTGGCATCCATCTCCGCCTGAACGCTGACACTAGCCGTCTGCGCACAGACCGCTTCCGGCCAGATTTCAACAATCTGGAAGGCGGACTCCGATGAATCATCGTCGATGGTGTGCTCAGTTTGCGTGGAGGAGCTCTCGAAATTGATAAACTCTGTCATAGTTTGCGCCACACTGCGGGGTGAATGACAGAGGTTTGTAAGCATGACGTATCTATGATTAGAGGCAATGAAAATGGGTGCGTGTGAAATATAAAATACGTTAAAGGAGTGCTAGGAGAGTGAATGCTCAAAAGAATGAAGATCATTCAATCAGTGTTGTATCAATAAATGCATTTTTCGTCAGATGGTCCGTTTCAGATAATGGTAGCTATGACTTATTGCTCTATGTTTTAGGCACATATAGCTGTGACATGAATATCGCTGCAAGTTTTATGCACATATAGCTGTGACATGAGTATCACTGCATGTTTTGTGCACATATAGCTGTGACCTGAGCATCACTCCATGTTTTATGCACATATAGCTGTGACCTGAGCATCACTGCATGTTTTATGCACACATAGCTGTGATTTGAGCATCACTGCATGTTTTATGCACATATAGCTGTGGCCTGAGCATCACTCCATGTTTTATGCACATATAGCTGTGACCTGAGCATCACTGCATGTTTTATGCACATATAGCTATGACCTGAGCATCACTCCATGTTTTATGCACATATAGCTGTGACCTGAGTATCACTCCATGTTTTTTGCACATATAGCTGTGACCTGAGCATCACTCCATGTTTTATGCACATATAGCCGTGACCTGAGCATCACTGCATGTTCTTTGCAAATATAGCTGTCACCTGAAAATAACTGCATGTTTTATGCATAAATGGCTGTCACCTGAGCATCATTGCGTGTTTTATGCATAAATGGCTGTCACCTGAGCATCACTGCATGTTTTATGCACATACAGCTGTGGCCTGAGCATTACTGCATGTTTTATGCACATATAGCTGTGGCCTGAGCATTACTGCATGTTTTATGCACATATAGCTGTGACCTGAGCATTACTTCATGTTTTATGCACATATAGCTGTGACCTGAGTATCACTCCATGTTTTATGCACATATAGCTGTGACCTGAGCATCACTGCATGTTTTATGCACATATAGCTGTGGCCTGAGCATCACTGCATATTCTTTGCACATATAGCTGTCACCTGAGCATCCAAATTTTGCTAGTGCTGGGCGAGACTGTTGACAGCCGTATTGATCTGTACCTCGTTCAGGTTGTCTCCCTTTGCCTTTAACAGTCAAATAAATCTTAAAACACTGTCTAGACATCGAGCAAAGATTTAAGAATGGTGTGCCAATTGAGAGATTGTGAAAAGAGAATATAAGGCCTGGTGTGCCATTCATAAGTCAAAGAATATATTGTGATTAGCAGGCCGGATTTAAACATTTCTACGCCCTTGGCCAAATCACTGAATTCTCAGTCCACCCCCCACCTTCACGCTCCAAACATTTTTAAAATTAAATTATTTTAAATTAAAATATTTTAAATTAAATAAATGAACAAACGAAATGTTTACCTTTTTTTACAATTTTTTTTTTTTTTTCAAATTAAGGGAAAGTGAATCTGTTTACGAGAGTTATCCCACTTAAAAAACCAAAACAAACAACAACTCGACTTTCGATTCGCATTTATAATACCGGTATTTAATTTCGATAGAGGCTGATTAGATCAGCGGTAACACGACAGCAGGCAGCAGCTGTAACAGCCGACCTGCTGCTCATTTTACTTAATGTGTATGGATGTTACAATAACGTATTACATTAAATAATGTTGAAATATTAAAGGGTGTTATTTCTTCTGGATATACGCCCCTTGATGATGCGCCCTAGGTCACGCCATGTGTTGACCTTATGGGGCCCTCGACAGTGGAGAGGTCAGTAAAGTCCCGATACCAAAGCCTTTTTTTCCGCTCTTGACATGAACGACACAAAGGTACGGTATTTACAACTTGATGTTAGGGATGTGGGGTAGGATTAGGAATGTGGGGTAGGATTAGGGCTGTGGGGTAGGATTAGGGCTGTGGGGTAGGATTAGGGATGTGGGGTAGGATTAGGGGTGTGGGGTAGGATTAGGGGTGTGGGGTAGGATTAGGGATGGGGGGTAGGATTAGGGCTGTGGGGTAGGATGAGGGCTGTGGGGTAG